TTTCTTAGTTCTACGTTTTAACTGTCAATGTCATAATACTGTTTGCTTTTACTGCAATAAAATACACATATTTGTATTCAGCAAAGTCTCACGTGTAAAACAGTACCCCCTATGTACAGGTGTTATGGTGTTTTGGGAAGTTACAGGGTCAAATATAGCATGTTACATTTTTTTCACATTGAAATTCGCCAGATTGGTTACATTGCCTTTAAGACCGTATGGTAGCCCAGGAATGAGAATTACCCCCACGATGGCATACAATTTGCAAGGTATTGTAAATGGGGTATGTCAAGTCTTTTTTAGTAGTCACTTGGTCACAAACACTGGCCAAAGTTAGTGTTAATATTTGAAAATGCAAAAAACTAGTTTGAACGCCAATTTTGGCCAGTGTTTGTGACTAAGTGGCTACTAAAAAAGACTGAACATACCCCATTTGCAATACCTTGGGTTGTCTACTATTGCAAATGGTATGCCATCATGGGGGTAATTTTTATTCCTGGGCTACCGTACTGTCTCAAAGGCAACATAACCAACCTGGTGAATTTCAATGTGAAAAAAACGAAACGCAAACCTTATATTTGACTCTGTAACTTTTCAAAACACCATAAAACCTGTACACGAGCGGTACTGTTATACTCGGGAGACTTTTCACAAATATTAATGTTTCAAAACAGTAAAACGTATCACAACAATTATATCATCAGTGTAAGTGCCATTTGTGTGTGAAAAATGCACAAAATGTCACTTTCACTGACAATATCATCGTTGTAATACATTTTACTGTTTTGAAACACTAATATTTGTGTTCTGCGAGTAAAACAGTAGTAAAACAGTACCCCCCATGTACAAGTTTTATGGTGTTAGTTATAGGGTTAAATAGAGTGCTAACAAATTAAATTCCCTGAACTTTTGGCCTGGGTTGTCAGGCAGGTCCTGCAAATTGTGATTAATAAAATGACCTAATTATGTAAAATTATTACATAAATATATACGTAGACTTGTTATATATGTGTGTGTGTGTATATATATATATATATATATATATATATGTATATAATTTTTTAAAATTATTTTTATTTATATATAGGTATATATATATATATATAGTGATATATATGTATATTTATGTATATAGATATATATTATTTTGTTCTACATGTATTTTGATATACATATATATATATATATATATATATATATATATATATATATATTAATTTTAAAATACAGTTAGAATGAAATTACACATGTATATATATTTTTTATTTATTTATTTTTTATTATTTTTTTAACGTATTTACATATTTGTTTATTTTATATTATATATAAATATATATAATGACAATTATATATATTTAGTCAATATCATTGTATGTGTACTTTGATATATATATAATTATATATATATATATATATTAATATTAAAATACACTTAGACAGTGTATGTGTATTTATGTGTATGTGTATATATATCGTGACAAAGTGCCCTTCGCCACTTGTGCCTGGCGATTGAACTGTATGTATGTGATCTGGGCGCCATTCGGTAATAATGTGCGCTCAGATCTAAGCTATCTGGGGATATGTTGCATGTATATGTTTTATGTAGTAATTGTAACATTGTGTAATTTTATGTATTTTTGTAACCATGTGGTTAATGGAGTCTTGCCTCTGTCCTGGGAGATAATTTGATTACTTCCCAATTATCTCCAGGATAGAGAGGAGGGATTGTGATGTCACTGTGGGAGTGTTTTGTTTGTATTGTCTTTGATTGGCTAATATCCAATATGTGCCCCATTGTTCCATCAGGTCCCCTTGGGGAGTGTCCACTTGGTGGACACTTGCATAAATACCGGCCAAGTAGCCCTCAATAAAACAGACCTACTTGCACCTTTCTTGAAGCCTTGGCTCATGCTTGGGGGAAGGGATACCTACACTCTGGAGATTGCTATAATCACTTACTCCCCAGAGTAAGCTCTTGTAGGAGCTTGATTTGTTCCTGCTATGCTCTCTGGATTTAGGAGAGGTTCACCCACTGGGAGCTGGATCCTGGTCGTGGATCCAGGGTGGGTGAGAGACGGCGAGACCCCGGCGCAGCTGCATCGCTGAAAGTGGGGTCCGCAGTGCTGATGGTGTCGGTTAGGAGTCCTCTGCAAGTGCTAGGAGCATCGATTGGCGGAGGTACTCGGTCGGAGTGCCAGCGGTCCGTCACATATATATACTTAGATCATTATTATTTATTTTTACACTGTTTTAAACAGTTTTTTTTTCAGACAGCAGGGGGAGTACCTATCATTACAGGCACACCCCCTGCTGGCAATACATGGCCCGGGGGGGTCCGAAGAGGAAGGAGTGGGACTCCCTGGGCTCCCAGGTAAGTCCCCATACCACGATAGCCGGCGTGGGATCGCCGGTGACCGGGTAAGTACATAAGATCGGAGGGACGTTCTATGCCACCCTGCAGCGTTTAGAGCCGCTTCCTTAAGGACGGCATAGAATACCCTGCGGTCTTAAAGAGTTAAATTAGAGGGGCAAACGTTTAAATATAATATCAGGAAGTATTACTTTACTGAGAGGGTAGTGGATACATACAGGGTCCTGTCTGGCTCCTGTCTGATAACAGACCTTAGGTGGCCACCTTCGCTGCCTAACGGGTAATCCGCCTCTGACTCCTAGACACCTCCTTTATGCATACCTCCTCCCTGTACATGAGTCTTTTTGTGGTTTTTCCTGTTGTTTTAATGCACAACTTTTTTTTGTAAGCTTAGCTTTGCTTTATTAAACCTGCTGGTAGAAATAGTTACAATATAATATAATGAAACTAAATGCAATGCTTCTTCTGATTGTTATACTTTAATTGTTCATTGTTATTTCATGGTTTCACCGAAAAACAATAAAAGTTTAATTCACAAAAAAAGTCTTTGTTAAAAATAAAAACCTACTGTCACCATCCCCATCACATTAGTATGCGCTGTTATGTGGTTTGTCACACCAGGCACAATATGATGACTCTGATAATTAATCTAGCAAAGAATAAATTAGAAAGCAAAATGTGGAAATATAAAAAAGAGCTGCATGATGATCTAAATCCTTGCATAACATTCAAGGCATATAAAAGAAAGATTTTGCTCCAAGAGGACCCAGATCATTGCAATATGGGAATTTTAGAATAATGGGCCTCGTTTATCAAAGTCTTCTACTTACAAACCTGAGGCAAACAAAGAGTATACAATTTATTTAAGTGAGAGATATTGCTTTCAGTGGGACAATTTCATTTTACGAGTCTCCTGTTTTATTTTGCCATTGGGAGTCTTTGATACATTACTCTTGTTCCCAAATTATAGCAACCAGGATTGAGCTCTGCCAATGAGGCACTCTAGGGTTTAGAGGCTAAAAACAAGCAGAAATGGCTTCAGATCAGGAAATTTAAACAATTAATTAAGCAACTGGCACAAAATCATTTTAGTAATAGGCACTTTATATTTTTATTCTACATATAATTCACCATGTCATTTAAATGGTAAAATTTATATTCCTGAAAAAAGTTTAAATCCCAATGTGATTTTGTTAGTGCATATATTTCCTATTGTTTCATACTTTTCAGGTATCTATTCCTTATCTGTGATATAAATTAAGTAAGTAACTGTAATGTTCTGAGTGATTGATGAAGTGTGCCACAATCTCTGCTTAGTCAGTGCAAAGTTTTTATTTACAAAGTAGCACTCAGTCCTACCAATAGGGTGTGTGGTAAAAATTTATTTTCACAGGTTGAATAAATATTCTAGGATCTTTGAGATCTACTTATTGAGATAAAACAGGTACCCCTTCACTGGTGTTTACACTGGTGGAGCTAATGTGACTATGACATGGCATTGGTAACTATAGTTAACTACAGAGTCTCTTCACTCCAAGTGAACATACCTGGCCTATGTGTTAGGGACCTTCCTAGTATTGAATGGAATGGTTCTAGATGATAAAACAGGACTCATCTAGCTTTGTAATGTATTCAGGTAGGATTTCAGGAACCTTATGTTATGACATAACATAAGAGGGTTGCAAACAAGAATCATTACATAATTTAGTGTCAACACCAGCGGACCTTGCATCTAGTCAATTCAGGCTTATTCAAGCTTTACAAAGGAGTAAATAAGGTGGACCATACAAAGAGAGTAAAACAAAAAACAAACACAAAATATCTGAAAGTAAAACCAATCCTAAGCAAACATGTAGAAGACGACTCTGGACAAGCCCAAGAAAATGCAGGTTTTGTAATGGAATCTTGGCTCATACAAACAATGACGGAAAGCCAAAATGGAATGAAAAAAACAATGGAAAAAATAATTTAATAAATAAAACATTTCTAAATAAAAAGTAACATTTAGTGGGGCAGTGAAGGGCCCAAGAATGATATTGATCACCAACAGACTAGGAAAATGCAAATATCCATAATAGCCTAGCATTATTTTATTTGTGGTGCCAATAGAGTAGTTGGCACCAACTATAGTTGCATGATCACTTGGTTTGAAGGGCACCACGTTCCAGCCCACTTTGTTTATTACCCCTCTACCATATGCACTGTTAATAAGCTGTGGGCTGTAATGTCTCGCTCTGCAGAGAAGGCTCTGATACAATATCTCAGCCCCATCCACATTGAGAACCATTACCAGGTAGGAACTGAAGACATGTGAATAGATACAAAAACAAACAAGAAGTGTGGCCAAGCCCCAGTGTATAATAAGTGATTAGCAGAAAGGAACTTCCCTGATTAGACAAAGTATCCAGAGAAATCCCCAAAGACTTCCTCTTGTCTTCAGCAAAGCATATACAAACAAATAGGGGATGTTCTGCGAAATAAAGAGTAAATAAAACAATATAGCGTATAACTGTGTATATGTGAAATAGGTAAAGGTAATTCGCAAATGGTCACTCACAAATTCACAGATGTAAAATAGCCTTGAATGTAAAATCCTTCTAAGTTCAACTGGATTCTTTCATCACTGTTTCCCCATTGTTAGACTGCAACTGGGATATATGAGCTCAAAAGAGAATGTAGATAGAACAAAATTGAAGGTGCAATATCCAGAGTACAATAAAAAATGTTTTAATAACTTACATCAAATTTAAAAACAATCCGTGTCACCACTGAGTGTCCTATGCGTTTCGTCCACAGATTGGACTTCCTCAGGGACTGGGTGCACTGTATCAAGCAAGATCAAGTAAAAATAAACAACCCTTCCCTCCCCCGGTCCTATATACCCCCCAAAATGTTCATTAGAGATGAAATTCATGTCCGGTATTTCGTTCCGTTCTCATTCACTTCCTCTTCCTGCTTGTGTGGCATGACGTCATTGCGTACGACGTGATTTACGCGTGCGTTCCAATCTGTGTTCCAAAGGGTGCCAATCTGGAAGTTGATTACGATGTCGGTTTACATTCATTTTCTCAGTGATAGATCACGTAAAGGGGAAAGAACGGACATAGGGGATAGGGAGGGATTAAAGACTCTGTACTGCACCAAAAAAAATATATATAAAAAAATAAATATATACAGTCCTAAAACATTGGGGTATATGTTGCACAGAGTATTGTATTGTTGCACAGAGTATTGTATTTGGGTATATTGCCAGGATTTGTAATACAAAGATTAATTTGTGTGTGACACCCAGATGCAAAGATGTATTTGTGTGTGGCTGTAGCATTTGTGTATAGTTTGCATCATTTTTTTGTGCAGGGTGTGTGTGAATGCAGGTATGTATTTGTATGAAGTGTGTGTGAATTTAGTTATTTCAATGTATGTGCAAATGCAGTGTGTGTGTGTGTGTAAAGGGGCGTATATTTATGGATGTATTTGAGAAAGTATTTTAGCAGCATGTTAATGTGTGAATGAAGGGATATGTATGTGAAGTGTGTCCATGAACTCAGGGGTGTATTTATTTATACATGTGACTGTACACATTTTCTCCCATTTCTTTATCTCTCCCCATCTTATTAACATTTATCTTCTCAGCCACTTGTTTCTCTACATCTTACCTATCCACACTTGTGTATAGTCCCCACCTAGCTTTTGGCTTTTCCCTCTATCCCCACTCTAACTCTCTCCCTCCTCACACTCCACTCACACATACTTGTGTTTCTACTTTCTTCATTTATCCATTCTTTAATCCAGCCAGAATATGCTGGATTAAACATTTAGGCCCATATTTAGGCCCATATGCAATGAAATGGTAAATTGCAAAAGTAGATCTTGCACCCAAACACTTCAAATAACACTTTAAACAGTGAGTGTTACCAGTGTGCGAGTGGTAGAAAGGAACATATTTCTGGTATGTGGCTAGGGTCTTGGGGACCTTAGGAACCTGGGGGTTGGTAATTGTGGACTCATGATACTGTACACTCGCAGGGCCCAAATATTGGGGCACATTTAGGAGCAAAGTAGATTTGGGCCATATAATGGGTCCAGGCGACTTGGCATCCATATATCACGTCCATCTATATTTGGACAGCATACATTGGCTGAACATGTCAGCTGACATGCTGCACAAATTACACAGTGCTTTTCAACAAACACTGATTCTGATATTGGTAGTAAAAGGTTTAATGATTCATAAACAAGCATTTTAACAACATTTCATTTCTGCCTACTTGCATTTTGGAATTTTTAAAAGCTGGTATGATATTCGCAAACATAAACAAGTTTTTATGACCAGTTCAGGAAATTTCATTAGTACTATACCAAACTGAACATTTGAATACTATCACTAAATATATGCTATTGAATAGTATCAACTTATCAACATATACTCAAAATTGTTTTATATAAATATTATATTGTTTCTCTATATGTTAAAATAAATTGAGTTTCATAGGAAGCTTCTGAATCAATTTAAACAATTCTTTCTATAACATATAGAGAGTATGTTTTGTTGGGGTGATGGGGGAAATGTGGTCCAAATTGGTAGTGCAGTAGTTAATGAAGCAATCATATACACTGTACGATAAACTCATTTGCTTCCTACGCAATTTGGCAATCTTCACTCCCCCAGATGAAAATTAGAAAGCTTTTCTATCAAGGGAGCATTCCTACTTTTGTGTGGGGGAGTTGAGATGCATTGAGCAGCCCAGTCATACTTCTGACAAACCTAGATGTAGTTCCCAAGGCTTCAGTTTCCATGGTGACCCCCTTAACAAATGAAAGCGTGGGTTAGGCACAGCTGATGTGACAGCAGGGGGAATCTGAGAATGGTGTATTTCTTTTCTATTATACAAAATTTATACTTGACTAAAACATACCCACCAACATGAACCAACACCTATAAACTCATAACCATTATCAACCTACTTACAAATAGGAGAGGAATACCTCTACTGAAATTAAAGAGTTGAGACAAAAGATTATGACATATTTTAAAATGAACCTCCTGGGTGCTAAAAAAAAAAAAAAAATACTTTCTTTTAAAATGCACATTTTAAATTAACTTTCCAAAAGTGCAGGGAATGATTTAATCCTGCACCACAAATCTAGTATTTGCAATGATATATTGACCCACACCCAGAGGTGTCACTGTAAGTTCCAATTTAAATCAAAGGAAATGCAAATTTCAGGTTTGGGGGGCACTTGCCTCCTCTTGTTCTACACTGCAGCTACCCATACAAAGCCATTATGTCATTATATAAATATGCTTTTAGGGTATAACAAAAAAGTAGCATGGGGGGAGCTTAGCTACTGAAGCAACTGGTCGCATGTCCTTGAGGCTCCGAGCTTAATGCTGCTGAAAACTTATTTTCTGTTATCAGTACCACCGCTATCTGGACCTGGGGAACATCACCAGTTAGCTCAGGCAACATGGGGCGCAAATCAAAAAAGCCCAAGTCTGATAGACCGAGCATGGGGATGAATATTGGGGAAATGTGAAGGCATTTCTCCGACGAGCTATCCATGGGCAGGGAAGACGAAATCCTACCTACAACCCCAAAGCCGAAGCCAGGTCCGACGACACCAGACACAGCTCCGGTCACTACTGCCGTACTCAAGGAGCTCCTGGCAGATCTGAAGACCACCCTCCAGGCAGACATAGCCACGATCCGTGGAGGCCGCATCGGAGTGCTAGAGGAAGCCTCCCACACAGGCACACACTGCAACAAGAGGTCCGAGACCTACAAAAGCAGAACCAAATGTATGACCGCCGCTTTGCGGCACAAGAAGATATCCAACACCGGAATAATATAAAAGTTAGAGGGATCTCGGAGGAAATACCTGAATCCGAACTACCACATTTAATGAGGAGGCTCATGGTCGCCCTGCTTCCACCTCGGCAAGCTCTGGACGGCCTATTCCGTATTTCCCAAACCGGCTAAGGCACTGGCAGAAGTCCCAAGGGATCTAGTGGTCCAATTCAAGTCTGGGTCAGACAAAGCAGCAGTCCTTATGGCCCTCAAGGGAATGTCCCTATACTAATTCGAAAGCATGTCACTAGCCTTTTACCAGGACCTCTCAAACAGCACCCTAGCCTGGCGGAGGTCCCTCCGGCCTCTTACCGCACACTTGCAGCAAAGGAATATACGCTACTGCTGGCGCATGTCTCACACGCTCATGGTTACACACGGAGACTCCACATAACTGCTTCAAGAGATCCACGAATCAACAACATTGCTACGAGACCTGGGTACCGCAGGACAGTTTGAGCAGTAAAGACCCCATCACCGCTCCCAGATCTTCACACGCTTGGAATCAGATGACAATCACCCGTTCATCCCGCGGAGGCCCCCTGATGGACTCGTACGTGGCAGCTACGTCCTAAGGACAGTCACACAATCAGCCCCACTTTAAAGGGATATGCTTAATTTTCATTTGCATTGTTTTATAATTTGTTTGGTTCTCTTATAATGCAGCGCTTATTTTATGCTCACCACCCCTGATGAGATAATATGGCAGACAAGACACACATGTTTAATACCCCCTCTCCCGCCTCGGGGCCTTGCCGCTTGGCTCAACTCATATCTTAGACAAGGGGGGCGACACAAGCTCTACTATACACACAAGGTTTCTCATGCATCCTTAGCTGACACTACGCTCGCAAATGTCAGGAGTGACTCACGAATCGTAAACCCACCACACCAGCCCCATAATACACACCTGACCACACACGAATACTGCATGTATGCACGCAAGTAAGTCTCATATGATTAGCCAACTAGCTGTGAATTAACCGATCTGACACGACGATCTTATACTTATCTCTCCGAATGCCACTGCTAGATTTGCTAAATGTTTGTTAATTCAATTGTTACCATTTTGATTATTGAGCTTTTAACAAAACAAAAAATGGTGCTGATACTGATTGCCATGAAGATGATTACTCTGTATTATTTCACCGGCTTGTACCTGCTATTGTGGCGATACAAGCATGTTTGTTAACACTAAGCACTGAAAAAGAAAGAATATAAAAAAAAGTAGCATGGGTGGATGCTCAACCATTCCATTAAATCTAGCTTGAAAACCGATTAAAGGGACATTCTCTAGGCACAATAGCCATTTAATCGTATTGCATTCATTATAATGCCCAGAGTACCCTGGCAGTGTCCCTCCATTCACTGTTTAAACATTTTGTGTACTAAATAAGTGTCCCTAGTGTCCCAAAGCCCAGCCCCCACTGGTGGTGTAGGTTATGCAGATATTAAACACTTCCTGCTAACCATACCAATTCGTACCTGAATGGGCACTGTGATAGGCTAAAAGAGGTCAGCTGATACTCTCAGCCAATCAGAGCCATCAATTGCTGTTCAGGCAATGCTTCCTCGTTAGCCCAGGCAACACAGAGGGAATGGACTCTCATTCAGCATTAAAACATAAAAAAAATATTTAACACTTAATAGAAGGACAGTGTCAGGGGACTCCAGACACTGTAACCACTACTATGAGATGAAGCAGTTACAGTGCCTACAGAATAAACTTACTAGTCAAAAGTTATCAGTTAAAACGACAAAAATTAGCACCACTAATAATTAGCTTACTAATAACTGTCACCCATTTTGCCATTTGAATTATTCAAATGTTAGTTCATGACATTTAGTGAGATTATTTAAAGGGACACTGTAGGCACCCAGACCACTTCAGCTAATTGAAGTGGTCTGTGTACGGTTTCCCTATTGCACCTAGTGTTGCAATGTTAAAGGACCACTATAGTGCCAGGAAAACATACTCGTTTTCCTGGCACTATAGTGCCCTGAGGGTGCCCCAACCCTCAGGGACCCCCTCCCGCCCGGCTCTGGAAGGGGGAAAGGGGTAAAAACTTAC